GACACTCGTCGATGTACATTTTCCCACTGTAGCTAACAGTCGGGTGTGGAATGGTAAGTCCCGTAACATATGTAATAGTATCTAATTAATACTATCTATGAAATAGTATCTCTTCATATAGTATGTAATAACATCTCTTCATATAGTATGTAATAGTATCTCTTCATATAGTATGTAATGTATTATTATAGACTCATGAATGAACTGACTCTTGTGTGATTTCCTTGTACTTGGAATAGTAAGTAGTATCTCCTAACTATACCTATTATAGTTACTAGTAATGTACGTGTATAATCGAAAGTATGCCTTTGCTACCCAAAGGTACTGAATTGACTGATAGAACTTTTATGACTATATATGTATACATAATGTATAACTAATATTTAGACGACATTTGGACAATTAACCGATACCCTAAGGCCACATCCAAACAAGGAAAAGGAATTAAAGCGAGCTAGCAGTCCTAAGTCCTTTAAACATTACTTATATAACTATACATATATAGGCATGCATTTGACAATATAAAAGTATAAAAGAAGTTTTGTAAAACCTTTGAAAAGTTTAATAAATAAGAATTGATGACTTGATGTCAGTTTATAAAATGATTTGAAAACAGTTTGTTTGATAAGAACAGTTTAAAGTATAAGAAATCATTTGTTTGAAATACAATTGTAATTGAGTTTAGAAGGAAAGGTACAGTATGTAAGACAGATTGATAAAGAGTTTAATATGTAAAACGTTTTGAGAAATCATTTTGAAGTAGTATACCGAGTAAAATAGTAAAAAGTGTAGTAAATCCATTTGTGTACTAGTTATTAATCATATGTGATTGATATAATAACTAGTATGATTCAACTTGTATTCCCCCCCCCCCAATAAAAGCATTTAAAATTTACAAGGTTAATTAAGTGGTATGAACTCAGCTGTAGTGAGCGGTTTGGATGAACGGATAGTATAGGATGCTAAGTGTCAAGTGAAGACTTGAACACACACAAGGATCCTAGTTAACATATAATAACACATATATGTATCCAATTAGTCATTTAACAACTAATTAACCAAGTTAAGACATCCTAAGACATGTAAAACACTTGATTTAAGTGCTATATGTCCTAAGGATTGCATCTAAGGGTTGTAGGACTTGGATTTTGGGTTTAGGGTCCAAGGGTAAACTCTTTATGAGTTTACGGTTGTAAACCCATGAGTTTACGGTTGTAAACCCATGAGTTTACAGCCTTAAACTCATGGTACTTCTACCATTTTGTGTTTTGAAGCCTATAAGTCATAAAGAAGCATTTCTACTTCATGTCTAAGCCTTTGGAAGTGACTGTGACATCATTTCACCCCTTTGTGGAGTTTACGGCCCATGGACCATTTCTCCATGTGTTTACGGCCGTAAACTCTAATGGCTCATGGTCTTTTTGATGTTTAAGGTCCTAAGCTCATCAAGGATATGATCTATACTAGTATCCAAGGCTTGGTAAGGGACTAGGGTGCATTTTGCCCCACGTATAAGGGTTTACGGCCCAAGAACATGTCTTGGCCGTAAACACCTTTGATCTTGTCTTTCTTTGTTATTTCTAAGTGCAAACAAGTCCAACTCAAGTGTATAACAAGCTAGGATAAGTGTACTTAAAATCTAGAAGCTTGATAGGGTGTTAAAAGTCCAAGAACACTAGTGTGTGTTCTTGGTGAAACTAAGAACACTTGAAGATCTACACAAACGGAATGATTTCACGGATGAAATCATGTAAGATCGCTAGATTAAGTAAGATATCAACTAGTTAGGGAGAGAAACACTTACAAAGTTGAAGATCAAGAACGAAAATCGGATGATACTTGAGAGGATTTGATGTTCTAGCTTTGAAATTGTGAGAAAAATGAGTAAAATGACTAAATGTCATATTTATACTATTTGGAGTTTACGGTCGCAGACTCCATGTTTAGGCCGTAAACTCCAAACTCTTGGAGTTTTGAGACTTTAGTTTTGCACCATAAACCCTAGGGCATCCTCTCTCCTGTTATATGTTATAGTACTAGGCTTTCTACACTCAAACTGACTCTACACAACTCAAAAGTTAGCAGAAACTGTTCTGACTTTTATTGAAGTGAATGGTTGTACATAATAGAAATCTAGTACTTTGCAGATGTACCCCATATATAACTTCGGTACTTTGTAGATGTACCCCATATGTAACTCCGGTACTTTGTAGATGTACCCCATATATATAAATCATGGCATTTTGTAGATGCACCATATATATATATATATATATATATATATATATATATATATATATATATATATATATATATCCTTATACCACGTTTATTTATCATCTTTTGTTTAGAACAATGAGTTAATGATACATTCCCTTCCAAGGTTTCTGGGAATAATTTCAATAAGTGTGTTAATCATGATTTGTTCTTCTGTTATAGAATATTTTATGTTCCTCCCTGTTTCTCTTTATAGTATGTTCCTCCCTGTCCTAGTTATAGTATGTACTAAACCCCTAAATTATACCTATTATTGTTTATTAGTATGTTTACTTGAATTGTTACTGACTTGAATAAAAGACTCATTTATATAGTGAGTTATGATTGTACTTTCAAAACGGTGTTTTATACACAATAAAGTAACATAACTTAAAAAGAGTTCCTAAAATGGTTTTGATCACTTATAAAAGCGTAAGAAATCTTTTAATCGTGATGGTTATCACAAATAACTTTTACACAATTATCATTGTGTTCAACTTGTATTCCCTCCTTAAAAGCATTTAAAATATTGATTATAGGGGTATGAACTCACCTTATGTGGGTGATTCAATTGCAGATTCGTGTAAGGATGAGAAGTTCCACGGATGAATTCCCGAGACACAAACGAGTCCTAAATAACATATGATGGCATATACAGGTATGTAATTAGTGTTTAAAACAACTAACATGCAAGGAAAACCCTTAGGGACTATAAAACACTTGCTGGGAAGTGTTATAATCACATGTGATTGGTTTAAGGGTGTTTATGGCCAAAGGGAAGTGTGTCTGGCCGTACAAACTCCAATATGTTGCATTTTGGGTCTTGATTCATAGGGATTCAAGGGTTCAAGAGTTCTAATGGATAACAAGTATCTAGAAAGTGTTTAAGGCTCAAGATTAAGAATTAAACAAGGGTGTACAGCCGTAGATAGAGCGTACGGACGTACACTCATGATTTTCATGAGTTTGATGATGTTTCAAGGCTATGAATCAAGTGCTTAACATGTCAAACTAGAAGATAGGGGAAACACTCACACTTTGGAAGTCTTTAAGGAGTTTACAGCTCAAGAACAAGTGTGTATTCTTGGTGAAAGATGATGATCTTGAAGATCTAGACAAAAGTGGTGAATTCGTGGATGAAATCATCGGGTTGTACTAGATTAAGAAGGATAACAAGGAAGAATCACTAACGTTTTGGACGAGAAATTGAGTAATTCTTGATGATACTTGAGAGAGAACCGATTTTCTTGACTTGGAAATGGAATAAGTGATGAAAAATGAAGGAATAACTTATATATGGGCATGAATTCACGGGCACCTTGAGTGTACGGTCGTACACACCTCTTGAAGGAGTTTTTGGCTCAAATGCAACACGATGAACTTAAGTTAACACATCCCTAAACCCAAAACTTGAATGCACTAGGCTTAGAACACTCAAACAGACCCTAAACAATGCTAATAGATAGCAGAAACGAGTCTGACTCTCGATTGATTAGCTGGATTTACAAGACAAAATTTTTGGGTTGTCACAGTTATGTCTTTAATTTTTAACATATTATACTTAATTTATTAGATTTAATATGTTGTTGTATGTAAACTCTTATCAACTTAAAGCTACGACTTTTGAATAGTTTGAACAAAATACTTAAATTGTTAATTTAAATATAACATTACAGTATCAACTTAAATATAAATTTCAATTCCACTTAAAAAACCCAACAAATATTTTATGAATAGTTAAAAGTGATAAATTATAATGCTAAATGCAAAAAACTAAATTATAATCTCAATTTAACTAAAATATTTCTATAGATATTTTTATAATCGTTAAAAATTTTCAAATAATTAGCTTTAAATAACTTACAATAATAATAATTAAATATAAGTCTATATAAATGATTATATTGGTACATTTAAAATTCAAAAATAATGTTTGATATTTTAAATGATTATAATTATAAAATTAAAACATTAAGTAAATAAATAAACATTAAACCATGTATTATATTTAATTTTATTTTATTCATGAGTAAGTCGTGAGTAAAAATCATCCAAACAATTAATATATTATATTTAGTATACGAATTATTATATCAAATTTTAACAACATTGTTATTAAAAAATATATATTATTATATTAAAAAAGAAATAGTATATTTAAGATATGTGTTTCTAAACGGCATTCACCTACTTATTGTTATATTAATATATATATATATATATATATATATATATATATATATATATATATATATATATATATATATATATATATATATATATATATATATTGAAAAAGAAATAGTATATTTACAAAAATTTGAACTAGATATGTGTTTCTAAACGGCATTCACCTACTTCTTCATATAGATGGTCAGAAGAGTGGCTAACCAAATAGTGATTCTACCTTCCCTTCATAAACGACCAGTCAAATTCACTTTGGAATAATATTTACATGAAGCTGTGTATGATGATTAATTATTATTTTAATATATAATAATTGATTTTCTTTCATCGTCATATAAATAATTAAAAATCTAATTAATCATCAACGTACAAACGCATAATAGAAGTTTGTAAGAAACGTAAATAACTAAAAAGTTAGTGAATTAAAATATTTTTGCAAGCAAACAACTAAAAGGGATTATAACCTTCCTTAAATTCCAAATACATGCAGTTCTATTCTCCTAGGGTAATTAAATACAAAATCCGTCACAAAGAAACTTTGGATGATTTGTTAGCCATCAAACAAGCATTGGACGAAGGAATTTATGCATAACCAACCTCTTCATCTCTTTCCACCCAATGGGCTTCAATAAATGGAGTCTAGTTTTAGTGCACAGCTCGTTGATATCCTGCCACCATTGAAAAACCTCTCCCTCTTGTGGCAATGAGGCAACTACAAGTTCGAATTGTTGATACCCTGGGACACGATAATACTCAAAATACAATTCTACTTCCTTTACCCATTTGCGAAACACATCACAATCAAACTTCTCAGGGAATGTTGGGAAACGTATATCTGGGTTGTAAGGAGGTGGTTTCTCCCTTGTAGGATGCAATTTCGCTTGCTTTTCTAGATATTCTTTCAAACCCGTCTCCATTAATTCTACACGTTTGTCCAGATCTTCGAGTTTGTTTACCATGGGCCCAATACACCTCATAATTTTATTTATATTGTTGGCCAACAAAGCCAAAGCAGCGCTTTCTACATCTACACCTACACTGAAAAATATAAACAAATATACTTTACTTGTAAAAGATCAATTCCTTCCCAAATCAATTATCAAAGTTTTCCACGATTCAATAACATACTCAATTCAACTTCTCACCCACACAAAACCCTAGCAAAATATAGGCATACATCTTAATATAGAAAATGAATACTTATAGACGGCCGTTTGAAGTTTACTTGCAAATTTATCATGATTGTTTAATAGAAATTTAAAAAATATCAAAAAAATATGATATTTTAATGCTTATAAAAGGTAAATATGATATTTTGATGTTTAACAAGAGCATATATATATGCAATTCTCCCACACTTTTTTTTATAAAACAAAAATTATGTCATTCAAAAATAACAAAATTTTCTAGAAACCTGGAGCCATGATTAACTTGATCTTGATCCATGTCTTGTGGCTCGTTCCCTGAATCAAAAAATTTAAAGTCAGTATAAAGGTTTATTTTTTTCAACACCATATTCTAATCTTGGAATAAAGATTAATCAAACTCATCCTAATAAAACCTTAATCTTCCAACCAAAGGATTTACACCTTATTCTTTCAAGATTTCCAATTGTTTTATGGAGATTTTTTAATTATAATAATTTTACCCCACACCTTGATGACTGATCTAGGGTGTTGGCTGTTCCATTCTCTATAGAAGAAGGCATTATTGGTGTGTAAGTAATTAGAGAGTTACATAATTAAAAAATCACAACTTAAAGATTTTAAATCAACTTCTTCTTTGTATATCTTTTACATTAAAGGATGGATAAGTGCTAAGTGAATATCTATAATTCTAATTGAACATATTTAGAAGAAACTTTTGCAACAGAAACTAGCAATTGCAAACAAACCTGATCCAGTCTTCTTTTCCCCATCCATCTGGGGTTGGTTGACTTTTGAAGCCTGAACAAGAGTTCAAAAACCAAAGCCCAAAACCAATTCAACTGCCTTGTGATATACATATGGATAATTAATTCACCAGATCCCACTTAAAATTGCCCAATCATTGTTAATTATTGATGCAGACTACATATGCGTATGCTTATGGTATGCATGTATACATGTACATAAACTGTTGTATTCATACTTAAATTGTTATAAACTGACAAAATACATATTACATAATTCCTTACGTAAGAAAACTAATGTGTTCATCCTCATGTTCCTACATAATCATAGGAGCAAACATGTACAAAAGTCAAAGGTACAAAATGAGCTGAATAAAACCAATCAAGAAAGTTAAACAATACCAAACATACAGCAGATCAATGAATCACGCACATAAAACCATGAGAAAACAAATTTTACATTAATATTCGACTTTTCTTGTCCCCCTTCAAACAAAGCCAAACTAAGATGAAAATGAAACAACTTTGTAAAGGCATTTTATCCGATAGTCAACAGCTCCTCCAATTAGGAAAAAAAAAAAAACTAATTTTTCGATCAATTTGAATCTTTTTTACGCCTAAATTTGATGCAAAATAAATAAACTTAATTTCTTCAGAGTCGATGAACCATGGAAACTTATATCAGGATGAAAAAGAAACACAGAAAACAAACCCTAGAAAATAACTAAACAAAACCATTGTCCTCGAATCGGAATCGGGATCGGGATCAGTATCAGAAATCACACAGTAATGAAATTAGTAGACTCGGAAGATTGGGTTTTCACGATTACCGTTATTACGTGAAGCAATCGTCCCCTTATTTGCCGGCTACTCCTCCGCTCTACGCTGTACCGGAACCCTAAGGTGGAGATGGATCAATTTTTATACGCGTAACATCAAACCCTAAACTTTCTTTTATTTGAGCCGGATGTAGATCCGTTAATCGGGTTTCGGGTTAAACGGGTCGGGTTAGTCAGGTTTTTCTAGGAAAAAAAAATATTCATCCGAAACCCGACCCTAATAAGGTACGGGTTAGTCGGGTTCGGGTTAACCAGGTTTCGGGTTTGTAGGGTCGGGTTAATCGGGTTAGTCGGGTTGAAGTTGAAATGTAAGATGAATTTATGTTGTGTCATTTTAATATATAATCCACATGTAGGGACTTAAAATGTAAAGTTGGTATATGATATGAACTTTTGGAGTTTCTTTTACCATATTAGTAATGTAAACAGTGAATAAAATTCGTAAAACTGTTACAGCACAACCTTACTGCACTAAAAAGAGAGGAAAGTTATGTTATTTTATACATCTCTATATATAGTAATTTTACAATCGGGTTTGTTTAAATAAGAAATATGTATTATTTGTAAAATCTCATGGGATCTTGAATTCTTATCATTCAAGGCAGTAAAAAGAGTTTTGGTAATAAATTCTTAATCGGGTTATTTGGGTTGACCCGAAACCCGAATTGTTTTGAAAAAATTAACCCTAAACCCGATCCTAATAATAATTCGGGTTAATCGGGTTAACTCGAATAACCCGATTAAGAGTTCTGACCCTATTAAACCCGACCCTAATTACCTTATTCGGGTTCGGGTCGGGTCGGATTTTTTTGGCATCCCTAGCCGGATGTGAGTTTACATAAATTTTTCTTGATTCTAAGTAACAATAACAATAACAATAATAATAATAATAATAATAATAATAATAATAATAATAATAATATAACATACAAAGTTATAATTCATAACATATTTAATATTCTATCGACAACTTTACCATTTTTATTTAAAGTTTGTTAAATCACTCTTTAATTGTATCTTTGGATAATATTGAGGAAAAAATTATTATATTGCCCTAGGCCAAAATGTTGAGGGCATGTTGTATTTGAAAAAATTACCTATTTTTCAATGCCATTATTTATAATAGTTTTTTAGACATTGGGTCGTGGGCATGCGCTCTAACCTTCATTATATAATATAAAATTATGTGAGTTATGTACCACACTATCACAGTAATCCTATACATATTAAATTTTCTAAAAATAAAAATAAAATATAAGAAGCTGGATTTATCGAGTTTAAATAGAAAAATTATTCATGTGACACCATTTTAATAAAATTAAATAAAATAAATGAAAAGAAAAAACTTAAATAAAATAAATAAAAAGCAAAAGGTTAAATTGTGAATTAAAATTTATATTAGTTAAAGTTTTTTATCCGAAACATTGCTTTTTTTTTTTTAAGTGTTAATATGTAAATTCCCTTAATCACATATATTACAATATTATCCGCTTTTAGTCGTTCGGCACGAAAACTTCCAGTGGGTCACCCATCCTCAAATTAGTATTCTGAGCGCACACTTAATCGTAGAGTTCTTATGAGACATGTTACCCTCATGGCTAGGGATGAGCAAAAGGACCGAACCGGTCCGAACCGGATCCGACCCGGGAAACAGCTTCGGCCAAAATCAAGAACCGAACCGGCCTAGCGGTTCTACCGGTTTCCGGTTCCTACCGGTTCTTGTCGTGTCTTCAAATGTTGGAACCGGTCCTTGAAAAATAGCATCATACGGTTTCGGTTTTTGCCGTAAACACCTCATGTTATTGGGAAAAGCTTGTTTTCAAGGTCTTAATCCAATATCCTAACTAAATAACGAGTATAGGAGGTAGATACTTACGATTTGAAGGCAAAGGAGGGTGTTTTCGGCCCAAAACACCTAAGTGTTCTTGAGAATCTTTGAAGATCTAGACTCAAAGATGGAATCCATGGATGAAATCAATGGTGATTCATGGATAAGAGAAGTATAATGTCACAAAGGAAGGAAATCACTTACAATTTTGAAGTTTGGAAGCAAAAACCGAAGATCCTTGGGAGAGAAATCGGGTTTCCAAGCCTTGGAAATGGATAAAGTGAAGAAAATGGCCCAAGCTTCATACTTATAGGCTGGACTTTACGGCCACCATGAGTTTACGGTCGTAAACTCATGGGTCCTGGCCGTAAACTCCTCATTTGAGGGTTTATGGCTTGTTTGATGGTTTGCTACTTTAGTTGACACATCCAAACACTTAATCTTTTGATGTACTAGGCTTTGAATGCTCAAACATACTCTTAAATAGTGCTAAAAGTTAGCAGAAACAATTATGGCTTTGATTGAGTTGAATGGCCGTACAAGATAGAAATTTCGGGTTGTTACATCATCCCCCCCCCCCCCCCCCCGTTAGAGGGAATTTCGTCCCGAAATTAGAGTTTAAGCAATTAAGTAGTTACAAATAACTAAGCAAAAAGTAGAGGATATTTCAATTTCATTTGATCCTCGCGCTCCCAAGTGAATTCAGGTCCTCGCTTGGCATTCCGGCGAACCTTCACTATCGGGATACGGCTTTTCTTCGTTCCCTTGACCTCATGGTCCATGATGTCTATCGGTTCTTCCACGAAGTTGAGACTCTCGTTGATCTTGATCTCATCGAGTGGGATTACAAGAGTCTCGTCGAATAGGCACTTTTTCAAGTTCGTGTCGTGGAAGGTAGAATGTACGTTACTAAGCTCGTGGGGTAGGTTGAGTTTGTAAGCTAGAGGGCCGATTCTAGAGAGAATATCAAAAGGTCCTATGTATCTTGGATTTAGCTTTCCACACTTACCGAATCGTATCAAGCCCTTCCAGGGTGAGACTTTCAAAAGAACGCGGTCTCCCACCTGGAACTCCAAAGGTTTTCTTCGTTTGTCTGCGTGGCTTTTCTGTCGGTCTCTAGAGGCTTTCAATCGTTCACGAATCTGAACGATCTTCTCTGTTGTTTCCCAAATGATCTTCGAACATGTAAGGGTGTTGTCAAGAACTCGTCCTTTAGCTAACTGTGTGTCACCCACCTTAGCCCAGCACAAAGGGGATCTGCACTTCTGGCCATAGAGGGCCTCGAATGGAGCAGCCTTTATGCTCGTGTGATAACTATTGTTGTAGGAAAACTCAACAAGGGGTAAAAGAGTATCCCATGCCTTCCTAAAGTCGATCACACATGCTTACAACATATCTTCCAAGGTTTGTATAGTTCTCTCAGTTTGTCCGTCGGTCTGTGGATGATAGGTTGTACTCATGGCCAGCCTAGTTCCTATGGAACTTTGTAGCGACTGCCAGAACCTTGAAGTGAATCTACTATCTCTAGAGATAATAAATATAGGAACATCATGTAGTCGTACGATTTCCCTAATGAATGTTCCGGTTAGTTTCTCCATCTTGTTAGTTTCTTTGATGGGTAGGATGTGTGCGGGCTTGGTTAGCCTGTCTACAATCACCCAAATGGTATCGAGGCCACCTGTTGTCTTCGGCATCCTGGTTATGAAGTCCATGGTGATCCGCTCCCACTTCCATTCCGGTATCTCCAGTTGTTGTAGTAAACCTGAAGGTTTCTGGTATTCGACCTTAACCTTTACGCAAGTGAGGCATTTACTCACGAAGGTAGCAATCTTTGCTTTCATGTTAGGCCACCAGTATAACTTTTTAAGATCCAGATACATCTTATATGAACCTGGGTGGATGGAATATTAAGTGTTGTGTGCTTCAGTCATGACCAAGTCTCTGAAACCACCGTGCTTCGGTGTCAAGATTCCGTCCATTAGATATAAGGCTCCGTCACCCTTGACTTCCAAGTTCTTATCCATCCCTCTTAGGGATTCACCCACCACATTTTCAGGTTTCAAAGCTTCGAGCTGGGCCTCCTTAATTTGTGTGGACAAGTGCGAATGGATAGTCATAGTCAATGATTTGACTCTACGACCAGAGTATTCCTTCCGACTTAGGGCGTCAGCTACCACGTTGGCTTTACCCGGGTGATAATGAATTTCGCATTCGTAGTCATTGAGTAGCTCGACCCACCATCGTTGTCTCATGTTAAGCTCCTTCTTGTTGAATGAGTGTTGTAAACTTTTATGGTCTGTAAAGATGGTGCTTTTCGTACCATACAGGTAGTGTCTCCAGATCTTTAGAGCAAACACAACTGCTCCTAACTCAAGATCATGTGTGGTGTAGTTGACCTCGTGCGTCTTCAGCTGCCTTGAGGCATAGGCGATGACCTTACCTCGTTGCATCAGGACACAACCGAGCCCCTGATTAGATGCATCGCAATATACTACAAAGTCTTCTATCCCTTCGGGGAAGGATAGTATCGGTGCGGTGCATAAGGCTCGTTTCAGCGTTTGGAATGATTTATCTTGCTTCTCTTCCCAGTCAAAGGCCACACCCTTCTGGGTCAACGTTGTAATGGGTTTCGCAATTCGCGAGAAGTTCTTAATGAATCGGCGATAGTAGTCAGTGAGGCCTAGAAATTGACGAATTTATGTAGGCATCTTCGGTGTTGACCAGTTCTCAATGGATTTGATTTTGGAAGGGTCCACATGGATTCCCTCTTCACTAACCAGGTGACCTAAGAATTCGACTCTTCGGATCCAAAATTCGCACTTTGAGAACTTTGCATAGAGTTTCTCTGACCGTAGTGTTTCTAAGACTTGACATAGATGATGACTATGCTCTTCCTTACTTTGAGAGTAGATAAGTATGTCATCAATGAACACAATGACGAACTGATCCGATTAAGGACTGCACACTCTATTCATTAAATCCATGAATACCACGGGCGCATTAGTTAATCCGAATGGCATCACTACAAACTAGTAGTGCCCATAACAAGTTCGGAAGGTTGTCTTCGGAACATCCTCTTCTAACAATCGTAATTGGTGATACCCGGATCTCAAATCAATCTTTGAAAAGTAGCTCGCCCCTTGCAGTTGGTTGAATAAATCATCTATACAGGGTAGGGGATAACGATTCTTGACGGTCAGTTTGTTCAGTTCTCTGTAATCGATACACATACTGAATGATCCATGTTTCTTCTTCACGAACAAGACCGACGCTCCCCAAGGTGAGAAGCTTGGTCTTATAAAGCCCTTGCTGAGCAGTTCGTTAAGTTGGCCGATAGTTCTTGCATCTCAGTTGGTGCTAGACGATAGGGCGATTTGGCTACAGGGGTAGCTCCTGGAACTAAGTCGATTCTAAATTCAACTTGACGTTGGGGTGGTAACCCTGGTAGTTCTTCCGGAAAGACGTCGGGGAAGTCGCACACTAGTGGGAGGTTCTTTAGGTATTTTGTTTCTTGGTTCACATCGACTATATGGGCAAGGAATGCACGATATTCCTTTCGCAGGTACTTCTGGGCTTGCATGCACGAGATGATACAAAGATTCGTACTGGGTTTGTCTCCGTATATCAACAAGGTTTTGTTATTCGATAGATTTAGACGGACAAATTTCTCGAAACACATAATATCGGCACGATGGAGACTCAACCAGTCCATGCCCACAATGACGTCGAAACTCTTGATTGACACAGGTATGAGGTCGACTGGAAATGAATAGTTATCTAGCGTGAGGGTACAACCTATGTAAATCTCGTTAGAACTCTCTGTCTTTCCGTTAGTCATTTCTACTATGAAGGTTTCTCTTAGTGCTTACGGTGCTTGATTAAGTAAGTGTTTAAATTTTTGGTTTACGAAGCTCCTTTCTGCCCCACTATCAAATAGGATGCATGCATATGAGCTATTGAGGAGGAACGTACTCGTGACCACCGTGGG